TTCTTCCAGTTTTCATTGGTCCAAGTTCTGCTTTTAAGTACTTTTACTGGGCAAAGGTAGAGAAGCAAACTTTCAGAAGTAAAAAGGGGCCAATTAAAAGTGCCAGCAATGGAACAAGATGACTTTGTCCAGTGTTTTTTGTTTTTTGCCTTAATTATGCAGGTAATTCTGTCATCTTTTCAACTGCCAGAAGTAGATAAGTATGCCGTTTTCCAGGGTTTTGGTGTTGTGCCGTCTTGCGTACTGGATCTCGGTATGGCTCTGCATGAGCTTGGTCATGACTATGACCCATTCACACAGCCAGACGTAAATTATCAACAAGACACCAATTTGAATGTGATGTAACTTGTAAATGGAATGTCTTCGGGGAAAAAACACAACAACATTCTTAAGAATGAATCAGCCAAGAGAAATAGTTGTATGTCAATATGTTTAAAGATTTCTCGGTTCTACAAGCCATTCAAAGACCGACAAGACCCTCAGAACTTGGATGAAGGAGCCAAGCCCCTGGTAACAGCCTGGCGTTGATCGACTTCTTCATTCCCCATCCCTTCCTTCACTCACTTCTCTCCTCCATCATCCCTTTAGTCCAGAGCAAGAGGATGGCGAGGATGCTACGGGATGAAGGAAAGGATTATGGGAGCAGGTAATAATTTCATTGCATATCAATATGATGCTAGCAAACTTTAGTTTGTAACAAACTATGCGTGAGTCCCAATGAAGGCTTACTCAAGAACCATGTATATGAGATCACAATGTTAGTACTATTTGACTTTAGGAGCTTCAGCTGAAATGGGCGAGACTACAACTGGATGACATGAATAAAGACAGCATACACAAGAAATGAATGAAAAGGTAACAAATAGGCAGATAAGATACAAACAAATAACCATCATTGTATCCTGGTATGCATTCTTATTTCAAATCTAGACAAAGGAATAAAAAGATGGTGAGCAATAGAAACGAATCTCATCCACCATGTACCTGATATTAAGAATGAAGGGATATACCTTCCTATATCTAATATGAATCCCAGGGTCGCTTCCTTTGTACCCCTTACCGCTTTCAAGATCTCAGAGTCAGACCGTGAGGAAGGAAGATGCAAGCTGTCAACCTGAGCGTTTTAATCGTTGAGACCAACCTAAGCGTGTGCCGTACACCCGGCCCCATTCCTGGTGATGAGCGATTGCATGTGATGACTTGGCAATTTTGGCACACGTGACAATTCGGCTGTAGGGTGTGGTGGGTGGGTTGCCCTTTTGTTCGGCCTTAGTTTCTTTGCTTTGCAGGCAATGACGGAGGCCAACACCAGGCAGACGGAGGACACGGCTGAAGCTGATCGGCGGGCGCGGGACACGCCGCAAAGCGCCTGCGATTCCCACGGCCTCAAGGAGCGAAGGACTCCTCAGGCAGTGAGACAGCTGCCCGCGATGCTCGCCGCGGCTTTGGTTGAGAAGTGAAAGCAGAACCTCGAGATAAAAGCCGAGCTGGAATGTGTCTTCAAGGACATTTTCCACGTTGACCACGCCTGCATGTCTGTCCAAAAGATGAGTCTGGGCAATTTGCAGAGCGTCTGTGATGAGCCTGAGCATGATACTTCTTGCAGCAGCAAACACTTGGAGGAACCCATTTGTGCACCGGTCGTTGCTCGGGTGTTCACTTCGGCTATTCGAAATTTGGATGACGCTGCCTTTGAGGAGAAGAGGACAAAGAACTTAAACGCTGCCATTCTGAAATGGACAAAGGCTGCCTTGCAGTTTCTACTGACTGCGAGTCTGTATGCATTTGGTGAAGCCAGCAGAGAAGGGAAAAGTGCGTCAAGATCTTCAAGGCCATTATTGGAGTCAGGCCCCCGGCGACTGTCATGAAGAGAGCAAACGCATTCCTCAAGTATCTATGTTGGGCTTGCAATTCTGGAATTGTGCCAGCACTTGTATTTTCAGAGCAGTGCGCCTGGAAATATCTCAGCTCATTACAGGATTTAGGATCGCCAACCTCAGCTGCTAACTTTTTGTCAGCTTGCAGATTTGGCCTGCACGTGCTTGGTTATGTGTGCCTCGCAGATATTTGCAACAGCAGATGCATCAGGGGGGATCTGAAGCACAGTTTGCGGGGAAAGCGCCATTGAATCAAAGCCGACCGTTCAAAGTGCTTGAGCCGTTGAAACTTCATGAGATTGCTGAGATTGACACCGCTATCGCTAGCAACGCCCTGGCCCAAGCAGACGCCCTTAGGCTTCGTGGCCGCCTCCAATTTGCAGAAGGGCAAGTGTTTGGTAGGCTTATCAGGCTATGTCTGAGTGAGACAACTAGGCACGCTTACGCTGTGAGCAGCCCGAGGTTGTCCGACCCTGTCAAACTTGCGTTGAACAGGATGAAGCAGTCTTTGAGTTCGGGAAACTGTCGGAAAGTTGGCGCCCAAGCGTTGTGCACCTTCCTTCTGTTTACCGACGCATGTTTCGACCCCTCAGGCGTCGATTGGCCTTGCAGGCTGGGAGGGTGCCTCTTCGATGCAAGCGGCAATCTCGTTGCTGAATTCGCACACTCCTTGTCTTGGGAGCGCATAAACCTTCTAGGAGGAGCCAAGAAGAAGACAGTCATTTTCGAAGCTGAACTGCTCGCCGTTGCGCTTGCTCTTGAGTTGTGGAAAGAGCCCTGGCTTGCGCTTCATGTGTCATTTTCATTGACAACAATTTGGCCAGGGACGTTGCCATATCGGGCAGTGCCAGAAATCTCGTCGGCCGTTTCTTAGTTGATTTTTTTTGAGGCTGGAAGACGCGATTCGTTTGTACGCTTGGTATGCGCGTGTGCCTTAACCTGGCAGACCCCCGTCACGAGGGTCGCGGTTTGGAAAAAAATGGAGCTTGTCGATGCTTGCGTTGTAAACTCGACTTTGTCAAATGTGCTTCTTGGTCTTGCGGCTAATGAGGGAGAGTGTGAATGAGCGAGCCAACCGGCCGCATGAGCTTCTTGTCTTGACATTCCCAGAAGAGATACGCTTGATGCATGACAGACAGATCGCCCGCCGCTGTGCTCGGTTGTTTGTGTCGCAGGTTTCCAATAGGTGACCCTTTTCCAGGGATGGGGAGAGGTTTGGCTCAAGGATGAAGGCTCGCTCCCTTTCCCATTCTCTTGTCTCAATGTGCTTTTTCTCTTTCGGGGGGATAGCACACATATACATATATATATATATACACGTATAAGCCGACCATTTAAACAAACTTGAGGGCTGAGAGCACGCGTCTCGACTTTATCGGTTCCCGTTTGAGCCTTTGCCAGGACACCTTCGTGATCCGAACCTGCTTGGTGCCCTCGGTGCTGATGCCCAGCAGTCAACAGTCCAGATTTTGTTTGGCATTTCTGTTCAAAGCAAAGCTTGCTGGTGCGATAGGTAGGGAGTTCGGGAATGCACCTGGGATTCCTATCCCTTTAAAGAAACCACCAATTGGATGGTTTAGAGAGGGTCATCCCTCCCCCTTTTTGCTAAACACATATTCCCCACCAACGGTTCGTTTTTTTTCTCTTTTTTTCCTTCTCATTTTTCTTTTTTGCCTCTTCTTCTGTCGGAGAACACCAGTTGCAAGGATCTGGGGGCAGAGTTTGAACTATTGGCCCCAGAAGATGCCCGCAGTCTGCGAGTCTGACGGGGTGGAGATGCTGCTATTGGATGAGTGAGCGGAGCGCGGGAGCGAGTTTGCCCATTGTGTAGTTCGGACTACAGGGTGGTCCCTTTTATTGGACTGGAAAAAGGTTAGGACCCCGTAAAAGTCTTGACTCTTGGGGCATGAAGCCCAAACTTTCCAAAATGGCCACCCCCCGGTTTGTATGGAAGGGAGGGCGGCCCAAAAGCGACCACCCGAAGGCTTCAGGCCCTTTTGAAGGCCCAAATCCATTGGCCCCAAACGGCCGCGGCTTCCCCGAGGCTCGACGCCGAGTCAGGTTCGGAAATATCAGCATGGGCCGAACTCATGGGGGACTCGCTCGCATTCTAGATGTTGTATTTCTCTCTCTCTCTCTTTGTCTCTCTCTCTCTTTCTCTCTCTTCTCTCTCTCTTCTCTCTCTCTCTCTCTCTCTCTCTCTCTCTCTCTCTCTCTCTCTCTCTCTCTCTCTCTCTCTCTCTCTCTTCACTCGCTCTCTCATTTCCCCGTGTTGAGTAGGTTTCGTTTCTAAAGAGGCGACAGGAAACAAACATGGGTCCCCTATCTTGAGAACGCCAGTGCATGTTTTTTTCTTCTCCTTCTTTTTCCCCGTTGGTGGGTGTTTCCTAACAGATTGGCTTCCGCTTGTTTTCCTTGCAAGCTTGTCAAGCATTCTTTTTCCATATGATTTGTCCGCATGACAAGATGCTTGGAAGCAGAGAAGTTGCCCACACAAGAAACCCAGGTGTCTCTGTATTTTCCCATTTTGGGAACACGGTCTCATTTCATGGCCATTTCAATAAGTATGTGGTTGGGCAATGTTTGGGTGGGGAAATATCGTGCACCTGTACCAAAAAACAGTGAAGCATGTTCCTTTGATTGTGTTCTACTGCATATATCCATATCCAATTGTCCACTTTCTTTCCTTGGACGAGCCAAGCAATCGAAGCACCGGTTGATTTTTCAAGGCTCGTGTTCCAGTGACTGTGCAGATTCCAATTCAATTTCGGTGTATGGGTTTTCCAAGATGCCGATGCAGGTTCAGTATGTACCCCGCTTCCTTCCAAGACACGAATCCAAATCGCGAAGCTGACTTTTTGTTTTCGGAACGAAAACACGGACACCGGCTCCGCCCATGTTGGGGAGGGGTTCACCAACTAGGTGAGCCACAATCAAACCCCGGTGGATGAAGGCTAGTGAGGAACAATCCTGGCCAGAATTCGGTGCGGCCGCCTTTGTACTTTACATTGGTTTGGGTCGACCAATTCATACCGACCGGTTTTGATTGCGACGCAGGTGCTGGTTTCGCGGGTCCAAAGCCGCGACCAGTCGTTCGCGCCGTGCCAAAAAACGCGCGCTGAGGCTGGGGCTCTTGAACAGGCGGAGCTCTCCGCGCGGAGGTCCCGACGTGGTGGGCCGGCATCCCAGCGGTTCTCAGAGTTCGGAGAGGTGCCAGGGGCCAACGTCGGAGGTTTGTGACGGAAAATGGGTTGGAGGAATTGCGGAAGAAGTAGCCATTGGAATCTCGCTCGGGATCACAGAAAGGTATATCATTCTTAAGTGGTTTGTGTGCACGCTTGGTGGCGCCTTCAAACCAGAAGGTCAAGTCGCTCACAGACTTGGGGAGGCCGCCAGGGAAGGTTTCTAATGCTCACGCGGACTTTGGGAACCCATAAGCAACCTTGATTCAGAAATCAGAAGGCCGCCCCCCTGAGACGACCTGAAATTGGGCTAAAGCGTTAACCGCAGGTGGTCGCTTGTCTTGACTCTTCATAAGTGTCCACTTGGGCCACCATTTTGGCTCAAGTGGACTCTGACCTTCTGTCTTGTAATCTGAAATCTTTCTTTCCCCTCCTATCAAAGCCATGTACGCCCCCGCCTACGCTGGTGCCGCGGTTGCAGAGGCCAAGGCGAAGGCAAAGGCCTCCATGGCGAAGTACCTGGCAAGCCTCGTGAAGAAGGAGGAAGAAGGATGGACCGTCTTGGCTGCTGAGGTCCCCCAGGCACCTGACGAGCGGTTCTTCTCCAGCGCCGATGAGCTGGAGCAGGCCCCACTCATCCCAGCCAAGCGCAAGGCAGAGGACGAGCTGATGGCAGACTCAGCCCCTGGGGTGGCGCAGGTGCCGAAGGCCCTGACACGCCCCCCAGGGGCGTTCCTGGAGCTCCTAACCCCGCCGGAGAAGGATGTTCCCATGGAGGAACTCCTGGCGGAAGACGAGGAGGAGCTCCCGATGTCCGACACCAAGTGGCAGAGACGCCGTGATCTGATGGCGAAGGTCAGGGAGCAGGCGTCCTCGGAGGAGGATGAGGACCCCGCAGCCCCCCCGCCGGGGGGAAGCGTCTTCACCAAGGCCCTCAAAGTCTCTGAGGGCCTTTACCAATTCAGCGAGGACCAGATGGCGGGCGACTTCCCGTGTTTTGATGCGACCACGGCCACTAGGCTCCGCCGACTGCAGGCAAGGACGTCCAGCGGCTCCTGAGAGGCTTTGAGGGCCCCCAACTCAAGCAGGGGGGCCTGGAGCGTGTGGTGGAGGCGTTCTACATCGCCAAGATGAAGTATGAGCATGAGGCCCGGCTCAGCACCCCGAAACAGCAGGTCGGCAAGCGCGCTGGCCTGGGGTATGGGGGCCTGGAGAACCGCCCCCTGGGTAAGGAGCCCACATCCTGCATCTGCCCCTGCTGCACCATGCCCTGGGTGAAGAAGGGCGCCAGGAAGTGTATGGGGTGCGGCAAGAAGACGGAGCCCATTGACATGGCGACCAACTCGGCCACCCTGGAGATGGCGGGCACGCACTGGCAGTTGACGGTGGATGACCAGGGCAATGCGGTCTGGACGGTGGCTCGGTCCGCAGGTGCCGATGGCCCTGACACGGACCGGGCCCGCGACCTCAAGCTCAGCGCCTCGGTGGATGTCAGCGAGCTGGCCACCGACCCGATGGCATGCGAGAACCCGGACCAGGCAAGCTTCTCGGACTTTGTCCCCTCCTCGGTCCGGGCGGTGATCAGAAACTGCCCCATGGAGCTGGACGAGGATTTCCTGACGGCCCCAATGGGGGAGAGGCCTCCATTGCCGGGTGACAAGGAAGAGGGCCAGGAGTGCAGGGCCTTCCACCCGTCGGCAGTGAAGGCCTTCAAAATCCAGACCCGGCTCAACGCCACCACCATCGCCCAGGAGGAGGCCAAGAAGCCTCCACGAGCTTCAAGGAGGGGCCATCGATGGAGGAGGCGATGGGGGCCAACTCCTCAAGAATTTGGACTTGGACCTCTTCCGCGAGAAACTGCTGGATAAGCTGGGCGCGGACTGGGGGAGGCCCACACCGGAGCTCCTCCAGGCCCAGACCACCGCGGAGGAGGCGAAGGCAAAGCACCAGGCCAGACAAGCTAAGGGCGCCCTCGAGACCAGAATGCTCGAGCCCATCAAGCCTCCATTCAGTGCGTGGCCTAACGAGGTCCGAGTTGCCATCGAGACAGGGGTCTTTGAGCCGACCACGGCATGGAGGGATTTCAGCATGGACGACCTCACGTCCCTCACGGACTCTTACCTCGAAGCCAAGGCGGTCATCTCGCTGGGTAGGAACCCCTTTCCGGCGGCCCTCCTGGCAGATCTGCCGGATCTGGCGGGGATCCCCATTCCACAGGCGGGGGGCTCTGGTGCGGCGCGCCCAGGTGCCGAGGGCCCTGACAGGCAGCCCACCATCCCCCCAGCCTCGGGCTCTGGCGCGACGAGCTCAGGTGCCGAGGGCCCTGACAAGCCGTCTGCCACCCCAGGGGGCCTGGATACCCAGGACCCGGAGGTGCAGCTCGCGGTCCTGCGCTGGATGATGAGCAAACGGGTCGGAGAGGTCCGTATCTTTGCGGGCCGCTGGGTCCGACGACCGGGCCCCGTACACGTCCCGGACTGGGCCAACAACCTCACCAAGGTGAATCCGGAGGCGCTGGAGAGGGGTACGCATCCCAGGAACCACCAGGTGGGTGGACTCCCATGGGCCAGGTACTCCGTTGATGAGTTGAACCAGCAGGCTAAGGCGGGGGACCGACCCTACCCCGAGGACCTGCGCTCCATCTTCTGGGCGGCCCCCCACGATCCGGATGAGGACTTCCACTGGGCGCGCCAGATCTCGTCCTGGACACTTCCAGGCTTACTGGGGATGTTTGGTCACAGCTTCACCCTGCGCCAGCTCTGGGGAGTCTGGGAGTCCCTGCCACTGTTACAGGGCCCTAGGCAGCGGGGCCCGAAGAACAAGGCCCAGAATCAGATCCGCCTGGAGGGCTGGGAGACCCTGAAGGAAGACGCGCGGTGCTTCCTGAAGGAGGAGGGCCTTCCGTTTCCGCAGACAGGACCGGAGTGGCGGTTGGTCTACCGGGCCATGGGCAAGGTCCTCGCGGCCCGGGCCTTCCTCACGGACACCCCGGCGGAGGTGATGCAGCTCCCGGTCCAGGACGTGGCGGACTCCAAGGAACAGATGATCCTCCGGGCGGTATGTGATGAGCGCATATCTGTCCCGGTGGAGAGTCTCCAGCAGTTCCCAGAGGTGTACAAGGCCCTCATGGACCGCATTGGAGGCCCGGGGCCCTGGCGGAGGTGAAGGTCAACTGGCGCTGCAACACGAAGCAGTGGTGGGTCGGCGCAGTCCCCGACTCAGTAGCCCCCTCCATCTACCGCAAGCTCGGCTACACCAACGACATGATCAAGCTGATGGGCCTTGACCCCTCCGCCCCTGGGTGCCGGACAGGTGCCGATGGCCCTGACATCCGCACCAGGGGAGGAGAGGGCGATGAGGGGATCGTTTACCCCCCCATCACATCGGACAACGTCCACGGCGTGGTGGGCAAGGACTACCGGAAGAAGAACTATCCGGCGGAGACGAAGCATGTCTTCTGGGCGCACATGGAGTGTGGCCTGGTCCTGAGCTCCGTCACCCCGTGGGAACTCATCCCGAAGACAAAAGGGGAGACCCGGGGGGGCTACATGTGCAAGTACTGCAAGGGGTACTGGCGCGCCGGGGGAGGGGGCACCCGCCTCCTCCAGATCCGGGCCGGCAAGGCCATCCTTCAGCTGGTGCTGGACGAGCCGCCGGATGGCCTGTACAACCGCTGGGTCAAGGAGCGGTTGGAGTTCTACCGCCGGGTAGAGCCCTCTGCCCCGCTGCGGGATGTCTCCGTGGTGGACCAGAAAGTCCCCCGGTTTAGGTTCAGCCACATCACCCAGACCGGCCATGTTTCAAACGCCATCTGGGAGCTGATTCTCCGGAATCCGGAGGCGGCGGCGCTCAAGCGCATTGACGACATTGCAAAGGGGGCCGTCTGATCATACAGCACTGCGGCCATCCGGAACGGATTCGCAGCGCACCCCGGGGGGGACAGCTGCCGAGGGCTCCCCCCCTGGGCACAGCACAGGCCTAGACCTGTACCAGGCGAGAAAAATTGGCGCGCTTGGGCTGGTCCGGGGTGCGCCTTGGCTCCCCTCCCTTGTTTGGTTCTTCCCTTTCCGGGGCGGCTCCCTGGGTCCCCCCCCCCCTTTTCCCCCGTTTCGGGATGGGCTTTCCGGGGTTTTGGGGGCTCCCCTGTTGTTTGGTTGGGGTTTGCGCCTAGGAATTAGGCTCCTGGCTCGAGTGGATCACGATGATGTGGAGGCCCCGCCTCCCTTCCCCGTTTGGAACGACCTTCCTTGGGGTACCAACCGCGTTCCAGTTGATTTTGCATGACCTTGGATTTGCACCAGTGCAGTCGGACGGGGAAATCCTCGTGGCGTGCTGCCTGGAATGGGTCAAAAAGGACCAGGTTGCCAACCCGGATGCGGTGGTCTTTGACCCGCGACCGTGGACACGAATCGTGGGGCTGGCACCTGACGGCAACCATGTCCTGGTGGCCTCGGACACCTACAACTTGATCCTCGCAAGGATACTCGGCTCCCAACCACAACCGCTGGAGGAGGCGGATTTGGAGCTCGCTACTAAGACCCTGCAACAACTTCTGTTTCGTGCGGCAGGCGCCAGACAATCGCACACCTATTCTCCACTCGAAATGGAGCAGGCCATCCGGGACCGCGAGGAGTGGATCCTCTCCGGATCGATTGAGGCCCCGGATGTCCTGGCAGTGGCCAACAAGTGGCGGCATTGGAAACCAGGGAAGATCAAAACCCAATTGCCGACATCCCAACGAGCGTTGGAACAGCACTTGAGGGCCAGGTGGGAACGCCTCCTGGGCTACTTCATTCCTTTCCGCCACCAGATCCCCTACATGCACCAGGTGATGGGGGCCAGGGAGCTGGAGGAGTTCGGCCACCTATTTGGAGATGCCCGGTTCCGGACCATCCGAGCGCATTGCTTGGCCTATGAGGGCATGCGCAAGATCGGCTTCCAGAACCTCCCCTGGACGGCCGGTGACGTCCGGCACCTCATGAACCAGGCGGTCA